TGATTATGGATGCTTTTAAAACTTACCGCACAAGTTACAGCGGTCCCAAACGTCTCCTAACACTAGGATACATTTTAGACACACAAACCCAATCACGTGTTATCTAAGAATGTGGTTATTATCTGTTTTAATATGTTCAAGTTCCGCAGTCACCAAGTTTTATACTGTGCTTTGTACACTTTGTGCTAGGCTCTATGACATCTCTTATGCGAGTTAGGTATGCTACCCTCTCCTAGAAGTCTCTATTTCCTCCTCATTGTGCAATAAGAACAAGGAGAAGGAACGAGTGAGTGTGTTTGTGAATTTTGTGTTATGGCTGCAGAAGACTATTAGAGTCAGTAAAGATGATTTCCAGGCCCCAACATTACTTTGTGCCATTTAGTTTCTAGTATCCCTCCAGTTATGGCCCATAGTTTCGTTCAAGGTCTGTTTAGCTATTTCCAGAGAGATTGGGCTATTGTCTTGTATTGATTTTACTTTGTTTATTTTTTTTGTACTGTTTGAAGTCTTATACTCATTTTATGTACTCTATTTTTTTATCTTCCGAAAAATACTTCCTTTTATTCAAGACCCAAAAAGAAATATAAAGACTTTAAAGAGTCTGTCTCCTCTTGTTATAATTAGATGCTATTGATTCTAGACTCATCTGAATCTTTTACAAAGATCATAATCTCCAATATGGAGATAATTTAGGAGACCTGTAGCACTTCATCTTCTACTTTCTCGTAAACTCCTTCATACATCAGCAGCACCACCTCTATGCCTCTCTAATATTTGTATAATAGTTGGTGCAGAATGGCAGAATTTTCAAAAGATTTTTGAAATAGGGAAATGTTCTTTGCATCATTATGGGCTAGGTTCATGGATTTTTTTAAGGGACTTTCTTTCTCTATTTTGCAAAGGGACTTGATTACTGTCTTGTTCTGATGGATCTTTTCTCTCTCTTTGCATTTTCTCTAGTGTTATTGGAGGGTAGCTTGGCTTCCTTTTCTGTCTTTTCTACAACAAAATGTAGAAATAAATCAGAAACACAAAATAGATATCCAACTTACAGGAAATGAAGTCTCTACATTAGAGATAAGAGATGTCCATTCATCAAAATCTAATGAACCCCCAACACTGACTTTCTTGAGTTTATCCTCATCAAAACCAGCTGCAGAGTAAGAAAGATCTGATTATGACAAAATCATCCTGCCTCACACATTTAAAAGTCAAACTAAAAAAAATAAAAAAATAAAAAATAAAGCTCAAGCTTCAGTTTGTTTCTTGGGATAAAAGGAAAAATAATAAACTACATATTATATCTCATGTCCTTAAATTAAATAGGAGAATGAAAAAGAGCATCAATATATAAGAAAATTATTATTTAAGATCACAGAAAAGCACAAGCATGTCTTGCAGTACGCGGCATGGACAGTGCAGACAGTAGGCAAAACTTGATCTTAGCCAAAACAGAGAAAAGTATCAGATAATAGGCACACAAATTAGACAAAGACAATAACACCAAATTTTTTTAAAGAAATAAAAAATCTAAGAATTATATTTCTATGGGCACCATGGGAGTGCCAACCCATGCACAAAGTTATTCACAGATCTGTCAACTTATCAAAAAGGTTCCCTAAATTCTCCATTGACTTGACTCACTAACAAAAAACCAATAGTATGAAACCATCTATTCATGAAAATATTGAATCCATTCACATCATCCACCCTATCAAAAGCCATAGCCATCAATTACAAAGTACGTAGCTAAGTCTTTTAAAACAATACAAGGATTATGACAAACAGGACAAGTATCATTTCGTAATTCCTAACTCAAGCTTTCAAGCTTCTTTTTACTTTTCTTAAGTCTTAAGGCTATTGTCGAAACAAATTAACTTAACTCACGAGAGAATGCAAATTACTTATAAAATGGTAAAAGTTCACCTTCTAACCAATTCAAAGTGTGACTAAACCAATAACAGAATTTTAAATCTCCGGCATCAATTCCGCCTGGAACTGACTGAGATCAATTTTTGCATCCTCTCACATTTAAAATGAATGTTGGCTTCCAAATGAATTCAAGTACATACATTCCACGCATTGCCCAACTCTCGTTTTACATAAAGTAAACTCTACAGGATACAAAGGTTAAACACCTCTATCAACTACGTTATGAACTGACCATGATGCAATTGAACAGAAAAAGAAGCAGACAAGAAATTAACTATTAACTAACATTTAGAATAAACAAAAACAAAACAAAATGTCCCAAAAAGAAAACCCCAAAGGAACTACTGGGGCAAATATTGGTACGTGAAAAAGTAAGCTTCCCGTGGAAATTCATACGGAAGCTGAGCATACCCAAATCTCAGAAAGTCATTATATGGATATTAACCACGTAATTAAAGGCGCAGACAAGTATATCTTTACATTCAAAATAACAATACGTGGATTAAGAATTAATACGAAGAGACAAGAGAGAGTTAGAGAAGAGAAAGAGATAGAATCCTTACAGGGTTTCTCGGAAGACACAGGGTTGGACTCTGTTTCAATGTTTGTATTAGGAATCTCCATCACAACCAGCTCGGCATCACAGAAATGCTCAATTTGTGAGATGAAAGTATAACAAGCAGGAAGAGAGTACTGTGGCCTTTTACATCCGTTTTTACGAGTTGTCTTCATTGATTTACAGCTCCACGGCGTCGTTTCAAAATAAGTGTCTCCATTGATCTGTTACAGCTTCACGGCGTCGTTTCAAGGCAGTAAATCCGTGCGACAGTTTGAACCGGTTCACCTCTGATTTGCTGGGTCGGTTCGGGTCGGGTCGGTTTTTTATTTTGTGAATATTGTAAAATTTATGTTATTTTTATCAATAAAACTTTGAATGTTTATTTGATTATAAATTTATTCTCTAAGCAATTACAACAAAATTAAATTGTCCACAAAATTATTTAAAAGTTTTAATCTTTTTCAAATATTTGTAGATTTTTTTTTTCATAATCTTCTAATTATCTAAATTATAATTTACTTGAAATTTATTTTTAACATCAAGCTTAACAACGACATGATAAACATAATGGATCACATTTCGTGACATATGGAATTATATATGTGCCCCTTATCTTCAAAAGTTTGTAAGATCATTATTTTTAAGATATTCACTCCATAACTAACTATCAATTATCTTATTTTTTTAGAGTTCTCGACGTTAAACTATGTTAAGATAATTTCTAAGTACTTTGATTATTTAAAAGAAATAAGTTATTTGATCTATCTCTATATATTTTAAACTTCAATATATAGGTTGTTTATCTCGTATCTTTCAATGAGAAGTTTATGACAACAAACTTTCACTAATTACAAATTATATTTTAACGGTACTATATATATGTATAGACAACTTATATAATCCATAGAAACAAACTTATATGAAATATACCAACCTAACTTATTAGTAACAAATCTCATGAAATTTGTGTCTTATTTTTCGTTAAATTAAATTATAATCTAGTAAAATGTGTAGACTTACAAACAATAATATTAAAGAATTCTTATAGTATGTGCTATGTAGATTTGACTTAAAATTTTGTAACATTTGCTCATAATATGTAAATATTGATATTTTTCAATAATCATTATCGTCGTTATAAATTATTGTTATATTAAATCAAGACTTAAGTTGATAATAGTTTATAATGATAACTTTTTCAACATACTCTCTTTTATTTCGATTGATAACAATTAGTCAGTATTTTTCTGTTACTATATATTACTTTAAAATTATTTTTATTAAAAGTTTATTTGAAAAAAAGTTATTCGTACGTGATTTTTTTTTATGCAATATCTATTTTTACTAATTTCGAGTCCGAAAATATTCAAGAAAATAATAAGTTTGCCTCATCATTTTACTTTGTTTTGTAAATTATTGATCAATTTTCTCATTGATCATCCCTTTTACCACTTAATTTTTACATACAATAATATACTTTATATAGATATAAAAGTTTAATATATATATATGTATATATATCCAAATTAAATTCTTAGTGAGAATTCAAAACTCCAATATGTCAATAAATCTATAAACAATTCATAAAGCAATATAATTACCGTCCAAAAAAATTTATTTACATATATTTGCTTTTAAAAATAATTAATTACATGTACGCACGTATTAAATTCATTTAAATGGACATTGTATGATCTACGTTTTTCCACTCCTCGCAAAAAGTCTTCAATCACAGTACAATAAGAGCTTCGAACTTCGCAGCAATGGCGGTCTCCACTTTCCCTACATGGAGGTCTCGAGAAGGCGAACAGAGACATCTAAATAATTGGCGTAGCTGGTATGAAGTGAGAGCAAGTGGTGCAGGAGGCGAAAGTTATCTGGTCTTAAAAAAAGATTTCGCGGACGAGGAGGATTATACAGAGGCCGGTGACTCTGAGCTTTTCTTTGTGCAAGTGCAGCGAAAAAAATCCATCGATAAGAAATCCAAATTAGCCGATAAGGTAATTCTCTCTCTCCTTTTGCTAGTTTTCTCAGTTTATGTTCTAAAAATTTTTTCATGACGGAACTTAACACAAATTAATCCTCAAAAGATTTCTATCCTAATCTAATTTCATCTGAGTAGATAAGAAAAAGGAATTCTAGGTTTCCTGAATAGTTTATGGGGCATTGAACTTTCAATGGAAAAGGAAAATTGTGTTGATTTCAATTGAACAGAAAAGGAAACTTTCACTGATAGTTCCGTTGCTTTTTTATTAGGTTTCCGGAATTGAACAGCGTTTACCTCTTATTTCCAATATAAGCTGGAGCCTGCTGGTGTCTGGTGGTACTCTATAAATAAGTGCTTCTCTTATCCTTTCTGCCATCACAGATTCGAACAACTACTCAATCTTTTCATCTGATTACCCGTTGTTGTCACCGAGATCCGAGTAGAGTTCTTGTTTCGTTAGCGACTTATTAATCTTAAAGAGAGACATATTGGGAGCGATGTTGAAGCAAACAACCGAGGCTTTCGCTGGCAAATATGGGAGTGTCGAGGGGGGGAATAAGCAGAGAGTCGCCAGTGGCGGCGGGAAGAAGATTGAAGGCACCGTAGTTTTGATGAAGAAGAATGTAGTTGAGGTCGCCGACTTGGGTGCATTGGTGATTGACGATCTTCACGAGCTGTTTGGCAACCGAGTCTCTCTGCAGCTCGTCAGTGCTCGAAACAGTGACTCTGCAGCTGGTAAGTGGCTTTCGCCTTTTGAACTTTGATTTGCTCGCTTCTTGACCTCTGTTAATTAATTAGTTTACGATGTTGCTAAAAAGAAACACAGAGTACCAGCAACTTTTTTATATATAATTGTTTACCAATTAAAGATTATGTTTGAAGCAAATCAATTATTATTTTTTTAAATTCATTTGGAATTTCACAAATTGTTTAGTTAATTAAGAATAGAAAGTCTATTAGAATAAAACTATCCTGTATAACCGAGACTGTGTATTTAAAATCTACTTGAAAGTTTTAGGATGTTAATTTTTATTATCTGAGATGAGATTTTTATTTTTTCTAATTAAATGAAGTGCAGGTTTCAAAAGAATTCCACCAATAAATTTCATAAATTCCAAAGCATAGCTTAACTTAGCAATCAAAGTAATACGTTCATTGTTCAATTAATTAATTCAAGAAATTAATATTGGGGTTGATCGTTTTCTGTGAAGATCATGATCATCATTAAGAGATTCTTGTAAGCTAACCTATCTGCCGAGAAAAAGTTCCCTAGATTCATCAGTTGCTAATATCATTTGACTATTTGTCTTTCTGGAAAGTTTTAGTATTAGCAAGTGATTTTGAATTCTAGGAGAGTTAATTCCTTTTCAGGAAGTGTTCCGTGTTCCTTTAGATTTCTGATCATTTTCAAATCATATCTTTAGTTACTTTTTACATGTGTGTTTTTTTTTTTTTAATGTTTTCAACTTCCTTAGAACGAACACATGTCAGACCAATAATTTAGCAATCAACATTTTGGATACCTGTTTGTTGCTACTTTTCTACTTTTTCTCCCTCATATTTTAAAGCTTACCGTATATCTTAATTGTGTTTGAGTGCAAGTTTATCAGCAGCTTAATAATACCTGATTTTATGTTCTAATGCAGGAGATCAGTTGCAAGGAAAATTAGGAAAGAAAGCATTTTTGGAAAATTGGATTGCTAACACCACTCTTCTAATCACGGATGAATCTGCATATAAGGTCACCTTTGATTGGGATGAGGATATCGGAATTCCCGGAGCATTCTTAATATGCAATGCTCACAGCAATGAGTTCTATCTTAAGACTCTTACACTTGAAGATGTTCCTGGTGAAGGCCGGATGCATTTTGTTTGCAACTCGTGGATTTATCCTACTAACGATCATGAGAAATATCGTATTTTTTTTATCAATAAGGTATATTATATGATATTAGTTCTTATGGAAGTTTCAGTGTTGTTTCAAAGAGCCACATAATTATATATTTACTTTTTTTTGGGTCAGTAATGCTGTTAGGATCATTTGATTCATACACTTGCTTAATACATTAGCCAAATGGAGCTAATATGCTTTCTCTTAGAAAATGATTGAAGTATCATATAGTATTTGTTGAATGATTGTTTTTTAAGTGAACTTGCCATTTGGATTTGTTATACAATGAACCATTTCATGCAAGCAATGTTTTAGATCAAGCAACTGTTTAATGTTAGGTAAAGCAAATTAATTATTTTTTTTTTTTGTTTCTGCAGACATATCTCCCAAGCCAGACCCCAGTGCCATTGCGCAAGTACAGAGAAGAAGAATTGATGAACTTGAGAGGAGATGGGAAAAAGGAACTAAAAGAAAGAGATAGAGTGTATGACTATGCCTACTATAACGATTTGGGAGAACCTGGAAAGAATCCCCGACCCGTTCTTGGAGGATCAACTGAGTATCTTTACCCTCGAAGAGGAAGAACAGGTCGAGCACCATCAGAGAAAGGTTAGAGATTCAAATTATATACTTTTTTATTCACTTGGCTTATGTGGTAAATTTGTATTCTATCAATTAAAATTGAAACAAAGATATGTGCGACTTGTTGGCTCGCTATCATAAGTATTAACGTTATTCTTTTATTGTAACAGATCCTAAAAGCGAAAGCAGGATACCACTTATAAAGAGTTTAGACATCTATATTCCAAGAGACGAGAGATTTAATCATTTGAAGATGTCCGATTTCTTTGCCTATGCATTTAAACTTATAGTTCACTTTATTAAACCGGAGATTAGAGCCTTATTTGGCAAGAACATTAATGAGTTTGTCTCTTTGGAAGATATGATGAAACTTTACGGAGAAGGAAGCAACTC